TACAGAGTGGTTAATTGGAATTCAAGATAAAACAATTTGGGAGGACAAGATGGGTGTAGAAATACATCTTGAAATGTGATTAATAGCAATGAAGGAAATAGTAAATAACATGTCTTTTTAGAAATGGGCTACAAGCAACCAATACCTGAATGAAACTGTGCATTTTCAATTCAAATCCCTGCCACATAAAATTCACAGCTGCTATATGCCTTCTCTGGTTAGAAAAGAAAAATAAAAAGGCATGTTCACTGTCCTTTGTTTCTTGATGGTTCTTTTATGCCTCTCTCCCAATTTGCTAAGATTCTACATTGACCAATACATAGCTTTTCTTGTTTAGAGACGTGTCAGTGGTACACTTGAGAGAAGGAAGTAAATAAAGTGGGATATATCCAGAATTCCTTGTAAGGCTTTATTGCTCTTTCCTGAGCTCTCTGAGATAGATTTTATCTTCTCTTTGTTTTTCAAGCTTATGTTTATTGATTAGTTTATCCTTTCCTACTTAATAATTATGAATAACTTTAGGCTTAAACCGGTAAAAGAATATTCTGGAATTCATATGGAGATGCATACGGAGAAGGTGTTTGATTGGAACCTCCAGCTCACTCCTGCATGATCTGGAGAACCCCATTCCTGTTTCTCTCTCCAAACCCTACCCTATCAGAGAGTCTCTGAAAAAATAAAAGTCACCAAAAGCCCAGTTCTGCATTCTTGGTTGGTACTGCAGCTTCCTCCCCTGAAGTTGTCGCCACCAGAGTCCCTGCCTAAGTGATCAGTTTTTCACTGTACTTGAGCATAAACCCAGTTTGTGGTGGACACATCATCATCCTTTACCTACAAGCTATAAAGTCTCCCTGATTTAGTTTGGGGGTAGGGCTTCTTTGGTCTCAGTCTCTGGGGGCTGGAGAACTTGGCCAGGGATTGTTTTGCTCTGATAAGCCTATTGTTATACATTTCAATTTGGCTTGATCTAGCTTACTGCATCAGTGAAGAAACCTATTACTGGGGACCAGAAAACCTATTAGATCTAATTCCTATTAGAAGAAATTAAGGAAAGGCTCTCCCATCCCCATCACTAACTGATGAGCTTGAACAGTCTCAGAACACCAATTTTCAGGTAATTTAGTATTAACTGAACTTCCATAAATCGTTTTAGTTCTGAAATTCTGGATTTCCTTTCTCTCATAAATATTTGTGAATTGAGTATAAGAGTACCACTATTGATTTCTCTCTCTGCTTCCTGGTTTCACACACAATGTAACCAGCTGACTCGTACCCAGTGTCATGCTCTCTCTGAGACCATGGGCTACATTCATCAGCTGTGACCCAAACCCAAAACATACCTTTTCTTTCTTAAGTTGTATTCATGGCAGGTATGTGGGAACAATGGGTAAAGTAACAAAAGCAGGAATTCATACTGATAACTGAGGCACTCGCTGTGACAGCTTGATCACCTGTTTTGTACAATCTTGAAATTGATTTGTAGCAGGAAGTTGATAATGCTTGGACTGATGGGCTAGAGAACTGGCAGAATGTTGTAATGAGGGTTTAACTGAACATTCTAGTGGGAGTTGGGAAGATTTGAATGCTAAGAGAAATGTGGCCAGTGGTGGCACAGGTCATGGAGTTTCAGAGGTAAGAACAGTTATGGGAACTTGGAAAGGGACCATTCATGTGATGCTCTGGCAAAGAATATGGCTGCATTTTGACAAATGTCTTTAAAACTTCAGTGTGACTGAATTAAAAAATAGTAGATTATTTGGAGGAGGGAATCTTAAGAGAGTCTGACATTCAGGAGGCTATGGCATGGTTAATTATCACTGCATTTGGTGAAGTTTATAAGGAGAATTGGAAGCCCAAAAAGATATCTTTTAAAAATGCAATTTGAGAAAGTAATGAGCATACATTAGTTTAAGGTTGTAGTTAATGGAAGTGCAGACATAAATATTGAAGAGATTATTTAAATGAAGTTATACCTTATACTTTATCCTGGGACAATAGGAGGGACAAATTTGGGGTAAAAATCTACCCACAGAAAGCTAAAGCTTTAGAAAGTGATAATTTAGTTGATAGAAGAGAGATTAAACTGAAAATTCATAAGGCATCCTTTCTGTATAACAACCACTCTGGGATGTGCATTTCCAGATTTAGTGGCCATGGCCCACAGCTGTTGTAGGAGGCAGCAGAACTCAGCAGTATCCTGTTTGTGATAAGGATTTTTGTGGGCATGACAAATGCACAAGGAGGTGGCAAGAAGTTTTACATTAAGGTCTCCAAATGTTACTCAGAGTCATGTTTCCTGCAAAGAGGATCCAAAGTATCATTGCATAGAACTATGAGTGAGTCTTAAGTTGCAACGTAGACTGGAGAATGTTGGAAAAGGCCAAGAAGCTCGAGGCATATGGAGGAGCTGGTCCCAGAGAGAGAATTCCTGTGTTACAAGCTACAGAGCTGGAAGATGGGGCTTCCAAGGCTGCTGGAGTCCAGATGATGCCCACTCAAGTCTCAGATATGTGACATGGATTGATGTTTAACCTGGTGGGTTTCAGTCTTACTTTGGTCCAAGTTTTCTCTGCTATTCTTCCTTTTTCCTCTTTTAGAACAGGAATGCATAGGCTTTGCCACTGTATATTAGAGGCATGTACCTTACTTTTATAAAGACTTAGAGTTAATAGTTTGATATGTGTTCATGTCCAGCTAAATTTGTTGTTTGTAAGGCTGTGAGGACTGTCATGAGCCAAAACCTTTGTCTTTGAAAATCTGAACTACATTTTAAAGTAGTTATTTACTAAAAAAGAAAAGGACTAGAAAAGCTATCAACTTTGTAGTTTTGTAGTTATTGGAGAGTAAATGCTCTGAAGACCCAGGAGAGTCCATTAGTGTTTCTTCAGGCACTGGCTTCTTTAATGGTGAAGACCTGAGTACCACGTTAACTTTCTTGAAATCTGTAGCAGTGTCTGTTTCCTACAGTGGTTGTGAAAATTAAATTTTAAAAATTCCCCTAATAATGTTAATTATAGCTAAATTTTATGCTCCAAGAAGTCAATTAAAGATACATTAAATGCATAGTAGATTTCTATCATTTCAGTAATGATATGCAAACAGTCTTAAAGTAAAGTTATCAAAATAGTTTAAATGCTTGATATTTAAGCTAAAGATAGTTTACAATAATTGACTTCATTTGAGTACATCTAGTAAACATTTATTTATGAATTCACTTGCAGGTTGAGGTGTTATTTAAACTGAATTAAAGTGGGTTGAAACATAGCTTCTCTGTTTTCAAATACTTAAGAATGCATTAACATTAGGGCTAGGGATCATTTTAAAATTATAAAATCATCACAGAAAGAAAAGAGGTAGAAAGAAAATAGAACAATAGACGATGCTTGTGTTTTTTAAAGAATGTAATCCATGTATTGAAACATCATAATCAAACTCATTACTTTGTAGGTCAACATAAATTGATATAAAGGAAATAAAGATAATGTTTTCCTAATGATTTCATTTTTTTAGGTCTCAGGAAGTACATATGTTCAGAAATGCCAGGCTTGGCCAAACTTAAATTGATTTCTGATGATTAAAGTCGGCATTATTAGTACAAGGGGAGGTGCTTAGACTTAGTGTAACTTGACATGCCCTGGCATGCTGATATCCATGGGAGACCTGCCCTATTCTGAACAGGAAAGGAGGAGGAGTGGATTGTCAGGGAGGGCACAGGGGAGGTGGCAGGGTGACAGGACTGCACTCAGCATGTAAAATAAATAATTTATAAATAAAACAATGAAAACAAAATAGAAACAAACAAAACTGCCCCCCAAACAAAATACAAACAAACAAGCAAACAAACAAAACAAAAGTCAGCATTAGTGAAAAACTTGTTAAAGAGTTCATGTCTGGCAAAGGAAATCATTTCCCTTGCCTTTGATGAAGGAACATAAGGCTCTCTCCATTGGCATACCTGTGGCACCATTCTGGCTTCCAGGCTCCCTTATTCTCTAGTCACATGTATTTGTTATACATCTCCAAACCCCCATCGAGTCTCTTGCTCCTTCTCACCTTCCCAGTCTTCTCCTGCACTACACTAGGCCCCAGGATGTTCCAAAACCAATTTCTCCTTATGAAAGCAAAGAATTTCTCCCCCTGCTCCCACTAACTCCACTAATCTCTCCTGCTACTTCAAATTCTCTTATAAACGATATTCGTGTACATGTCCAGTCTGTATCATGTTTTCTCTGCTCTGAACTCTTTCAGATGTCTCTGGATGTTTTCTTTCTCATTGCCAAGAAAACCATCCCTTTAATCATGGCACTACCATTTCAGTAGTTTCTTTATGGTGCTCTGTGCATACAATATGTACATTTCCTTAAATGAATATCACTCTGCCCAAGACAGATGCTACATTTTAAAAGAATATGCATAGAGACACCCTCACTTTTACTTAGCAAGCACTTAAGATCCACGTGAATTCAAGAGGCAAAAAGAGACAGCGGCCGGTGGTTGTGCTCATACACGTCAAGCAATGAGGTAAAGAAAAGTTAACTAGAGTACCCATCTAGTTTCATGTAAGTAAATGAGGATGTTTGGGAAGTCACACCCATCTAATCTGAAGCTATGTTAATTATTGGAAAATAGACTTTAAAAGCATAATACATGGTTGAACATTTAACAATTTGCTGAAAAACCATAAATTCCTTAGCTTTGGGTTGAAGTCTAACATATTTCCAACAAAATTTTGTGGCCATAGTGATAAAACAATTAGATGGAGTGGAGAATAAACCTCTTGTAACTTGGACATTTTCATAGACTTAGACATCATTCTCCCTTGTAGCCCACAATACATCTCCCCTGACATTATAACCCCATCTCTTTAGAGTATTGACAATCAATACTGTTAACACTGAGTAGTTCTTCATGAGCCATTGCTGAGTTAACGTGGTCTGGAGGAATCAAGAGAGAACACTTCCTGATACTCTTAGACTATGAAAGTAGTTATTAAAACATACCTTTATAATAGAGACTGGAAAAGAAAGTCTTTCAACAACATGAATTTCTCTTTTCCTTCCTTGGCACTATCCACCAAAGATGGCTGCAGTAGTTGGTACAGCAACTGTTGAAGTCTGAGGATTCCGTAGTCAGGGTGACAGATCACTGTGATGTCAACACTCTAAGAGTAATGCAATAACTGACAAAGTGACACATTTCTTAACAGTTTGGCTTTGAAAAATAATTTTTGAGAAATTTCAAAATCAAAAGTGATGATAAGGAATGACAGATATCCATATATACATATATATATGTGTGTATATGAAATAACAGATATTTAAATATATTGATCCATACCAACAGTAACATGCCTCTCCAAGTTCTAACAAACTAATATAACTAGACATAGTGGACTATTTTCTGTTGCTCACTGTTTCAAAAAGTCAAAAGACACTAGTGTCATCATTTTTCCTTTGATCATGTCAAACTGTTATTGTCACATCATAGCAAATGGCCTCATGAATGGGACACTTAGAAAACTCGTGGTGTGATAGGAAGCCACACAGAATGAAGAGAGTATAATCTTACTCTCCCACTATACTGAATAATTGATATTTACATTATGATTCATAACAGTTGCAGAATTAGTTATGAAATAGTAATGAAATAATTGTATGTTTGGGAGTCATCACAACATGAGGAACTGTATCAAAGGATCGCAGCATTAGGAAGGTTGAGAACTATTGCCTTGGAACATAGGTTTCAGACAGTTCTGAATCATCATCAGACTTGGGTGATAGGGACCCAACTCAGATCCTTTGCAAGAGTCCTATTAATACATGAGATATTTATCTAGACCCTGGCAAATTGTGTTCTCTGTCTGCCTGTCTGTCTGTCTCTGTCTCTGTTTCTGTCTCTCTCTCTCTCTCTCTCTCTCTCTCTCTACACACACACACACACACACACACACACACACACAGATAGCAGGGAGTTGCACACATGAACTTACAGCAGCTGTGACTCCAAGCACAAGACTTTCAGACACAAACTGAAACAAATTCCCAGAATAAAGGTTGTGTGTGAGTGTGGGTGATCATGAAGTCCAACTCCTGAGGAGCTATTGGCACTTGATGTCTTCTGGGAGTTAGTTCTTCAGAGATGTAGCCCCTGAGTTGTTACTCATGATCTATACCCATGTATATACTGGCAGTACTAAGTGGACTTAGTGTGTTAAAATAAAAAGAACATGAAATATTGGGAGGAAATAGTGCTGAGAAGGATAGGGGGAATTTGGAGATGAAGGAATAGGAGTTGGATCTGACCAAAACACATCCACACGTGAAATTACCAAACAATAAAAAGTACAGAAATTTACTTTTAAAAACTTTAAAGAGAGAGAGAAAAATTAATTGGGGGTTAATGCTGTACCTCAGTTGGTAATACACTTACTTGCTTAGCATGCACAAGCCCTCAATTTGATGGCCAGGTAAATTAGCCATAATGGCATATGAATATAATCACAGCATAGAGGCAGGAGGGTTAGATGTTCAAGCTCATCCTCAGATATACAGAAACTTTGAAGACAGCATGGAATACACAGGGCCAATTTATTGAATATATATTTAATCAATTGATTCTCCTGGGATTACATGCTAATGATGCTATTAGGTTAGGTGGCTGTGAACACTGTATATTCCCAAATTACTTGAACTTTTCTGACTTCATTTTGAGTGTTTTGTAGTACTTTTTACTCTATTTTATACAAAGTTTCTTACATTTGTTCATAAAATAATTATACAGTTATATAACTATTACAAATATCTTAATTTCATTTTATCTGACCATATTTTGCTGTACACAAATGAAACATACAGATTTCAAATCTAGTATTCATTCTAGGTATGTAGAAATATTGCTGCTTTTTGACATTTAACTTGGAAATTTGTTAAAATCTCTTTAATTCTCATAAATGTTTATATTTTTAAAAATCTATGACTAAACAATATTCCTTGGTCAAGAGACATCAATTCTGTCCTGCCTGTGTATATTGATTTGTTTGTCACCATACTGAATTGCTAGGACCTCTACTAGAATTCTGTACCAGTGATTAAAGAAATAATATCTTCCTGATATGTGGGAAAGAATCCAATCTTTCATCATTAAATGTGATATCATCGGATTGTAGCCAGCCTACAATCCTATGGCCAGAGAGTCTGGGAAACAGAAACTTTATTTAGTGGCTGATCAAAGAAGAGGCAGTCTCCCTTGGTTAAGTACTGAGCTGAACTCAAGAAAGCCAGTAACAGAGAGGGAGGACTGATGATCAAAGGGATTAAGACTGGGCTGGTTTAACCCCCAGAAACAGCTGACCAGACAAAGGTTAACTCTTGAATCCCAGGCATTAGCCTGGGAATCCAGCATGGGACTGATCAAGACCCCCTGAATCTGGGTGTCAGTGAAGAGGCCTAGGGAATCTATTGAGCCTTGGGCAGCAGATCAGTACCCATCCCAAGTATACACACGGACTTTGGACTCCAATAGAACAATGTGAGGTGCACTCTCACCCAGAACTCTTGGGAAAGGGTCTAGGCCCTGCCCTATATGAAATGACACACTATGGACACCCCCATGGAGGGCCTCACCCTCCCTGGAGAAATGAGAGGATAACGGGGGGGGGAGGGGAGGGCACGGGAGGAAGGGAGGGAATGGGAGAGGGACCTGGAACTGACTTGTGAAGCAACCTTGATTCTTATCTAAATTTAAACTGGAAAATAAAATTTAAAAAAATGTGATATCATCCACAAGTGTTTATGAATCCTCTTTATCAGGTTGAGGAAGACTCCATATTCTTGTTTGTGAACTTATTTTTAATGAACGATTTAGACTTTGTGAATAATTTTTTCTTCTTTTTGATAGTTTAGTGTTTATTTTTCAAAATTTGATGAGGTAAATTATATTTTTAAAAATGCTTTTATTGGAATTTAAAATTATTTTAATGCTATGTACACATCAGTATATCTTCAAACAACACAAAGTACTAGAAAGACATGTAAAATCAAAAAGCTAAGTAAAATCTCAAGTACAAGTATCAAATTAACATTGCTTGAATTGGACAGGATTTTCTTTCTTAGGTTAAGTCCTACGTGATTATGAATTCTTACCGTTTTCATGTATTTCTGGATAATTTGTGGAAAGCTTTCTTTTGGAATTTTGCATTTACTTTCTAAGAAAACAACAATCAGTAGTTATAATTTGGTGTTACCTCTGCCTCATCTTGGAATTGATCCAGTGTGTAGGTACAACTGCCTTAATATTATTTCTCTTTCATCCAGTGAAGGGTTCAAAGGCTGCAGCTGTAGTTGAAGAAGACTGACATACTGTTTCAGAAGTGGAAGATTTGATATATTAGTTTTGCAAGCATGAAAAATATATGCGTTAGGGAGTCACAACAGCTTCCACCAAAATGTCTGAAAAAACCTGGGTGGCAGGCAGTGTGCTAGCATATTGGAACTCCAGCAGTAAACGCAGGCTGTGTGGTGGGGAACAGATCTGTGGGGTTGAAGCTGAAGCAACAGTGGAGACTTTTGAAAGGTAGAGTTGACCAAACTGTGTAACGTGAATCAGGGAAAACAAGAGGCAGTATGCAAAGCCAGCTCAAGAGAGTGCTGGTACTCAAGAGGGCTGCTACTGGCAGGATGTCCCATTGGGGGAGGCCTGCTGGTGCCTTTGGGATACTCCTTCCACCACAGTCATAGAGCTGCATGGCTTAGTGCTTGCCTTGCTAGGCTTTTACGTTGCTTCGGGCTGGTCTTACTATTTCTTGATTCTTTCTCTTTGGAGCAAGAATTTGGCTCTATATTTATCCTATCACTACCCCTTGGAAAAACGTAGCTTTCTTTTTTATTTTCCCAGGGACTCACAGTTGAATTTGCCTTGAATTTCAGAGCATTTATTGAACTTTTGAGCTATGTGGAAATAAAGGTTTAGATGACAGTTGGGGAAGAAAACCTTTCGTTGTAGGAATATATGAACCTATGGGGGAAAGGAACAGAATTTGATTGATTTTGAATTTTTCCCAAAGGACCATATGTTAGAGGTATGCTTCCAAAGACGTTACTCATTGGGAGGTGATGGATGCTACCATGAGACCCTTTGGTAACTAAGAATATGCCTTGAATTGTGGGAGGCAGGTCTCTTTCTTTTACTGTTTCCTGGTACATGACCTAAGAAGTTTCACCAGCTGTGTATTTCCATCATGGCATGTTACGCTTGCCAGAGGCCAGGGGAAATGGAGTTGTTCAATCTTGGACCAAAACTTGCAAAGCCATGAGCCAGCCAAAATAAACTGTTTCTCTTTATAAGCTGATTGCCGGAAGTATTTTGGTATATTAATAGGAAACTGACAAATTCAGTTATCCAGTTAATTTTCTCCTTTGTGATTGATTTGAAAATATATTTGATTTTTGAAGGTTGTGGGAGTCTGTATGGGGTTAGTATTGCTACTTTTATAATTAGTGGTTTTGTGTGTGTGTGTGTGTGTGTGTGTGTGTGTATGTGTGTGTGGTATGTATTGTTCACAGGTCTATGCACCTATGTGTGTGCATGGTGTATGTCAACGGAGGACATTGGGCATCCTACTTTCTCACCCTCTCCCTTATCCCTGGAGATTAGGCCTCTAGACAAAATATAACTTGCCTCTTTGATTAGGAGACTGGTTAGCAAGCCCCAAGAATATCTTATTCTCCAAGCCCCTCACTTCTTGCCCCAGCCCTGGGGTCACAGGTATGTGTGGACATGACTGGTTTTTATATACACACTGAGGCTCTACACTCAAGTCTTTGTGCTAATGTGGAAGTGCTCTTACATAAGAGCCATTTCCCCAACCCATGGGAGAGTTTTGAAATACAACTTTATTGACTTTGGAAGTTAAAATTTGGGTTCTTCTTTTGATAGTTTATGTTTATAGCTTCTGTTTTCTGGCACCACTGACTTATCAATATTATTGATTTTAAAGAAACAATTTTAGAAATTCACTGATTTCCCCTATAAATAAAGAACATTATGTTTACTGTATCATTGTTTTATGCTGAATCTATAATTGCCAAGTATAT